GTAGTAGAATTTTCCCACAATGATATGAGTTGAGCTGACGTTTCCATTGAATTTCACATAGCCGTGCTTTACCAAAAGTTGTTCTCATTCAGGGTGTATTGCAGTTTCGACCTCGCATCGGTCTTATCAACACCCTCAGCAGGAGTCGAACCGCGACAGTCCAGGATGGGAGCTTGACACACTAACTACTCGGCTACACTGCCACGAGTACCCTTGAGTCACAAAGCATAAATGAATTTCAAGGAAGTTCAGGCCCCTTTGCTATATCATATTCTTTGGCGGAAGTGCCGATGAATAAAACGTATATTTGCTATAGCAATCGACTACGTTACTTATTTTCGTATTATAGTAGAGTTTCGAGACTACCAGCTTAAATCTTAAATTCAGGGCTTCTGTTTCGATATAAGTTGTAAATTCATTCAATGTCTGCAATAAACTTTTCCTTATAGCTCAAACCAGCAAGAACTACTAATCGCTTTGTCCTCAAACCCATCCACTAGAAACATCTATACTTCTTAAGTACGGTGTCAACTCTGATATTCATAGAAGTTGTTTGATCTTATTTTCGTAACTTGGTCATATTGGTAGGAAGACTTAGAGGAACGCACATTGTCCTGAGTCCATTGTATGCATGATCATTTCCAAAGTCGGACCGTGGACATGGTACATTTCAAGACGGTTCGCCAGCATCGTCAGCAAGTTTTACCATTCGTAGCAACATACTACAACTCGTCAAAGAGACAAGTGAAGCCAGCCTTTGACCAAGCGTGTGCTAAACACTTATGGCATCACCCCTTTTGCTCTGGCCTATTCACATTTCCTATATCCTCCTATCGCACCTTTAGTGTCACAATTTTTTACTTGCTTAATTAAATAGGGTACGGTGTGCCCTTTAAGCGGCTTTCATGAGAACCCTCCGCACTCTACATTGGCCTTCTCACCGCCCTTCATCCTCGTGCTGGGAATAGTGATCAGTCTGCCATATTATTACGCAGTCCTCCTTCCATAGGTCTTACCTCAGTCTCTCTCTTGCCCCGTAAGATCCGTCTGCCCTCTCCTTCGTTTATATATTTCACTCGAACCCTGCCACCCCATCTGTGTCACTCGAGGTAATATTGGCCCTACCCTGCGTCTGGGTGACTAATTCGAGGCTCAAGCCTCTGAGTAAGTGTCATGGTCATGCCTTTGACAGATAGACCACGTCTGTCAGCCCACTAGCTCCCATCGCCACTGCTTCTATCCTGTTTCTATCTCTAATACCAAGTCTATGACTTCCTATGCTATAGTCTCTTGTGTGCCAACCCACAAACGTGGTTCAACATTGAACCTAACTAAATCAAGCAGAATGATTATGCATACAATAGACTCAGGACAAGGTGCGTTTTTATGATTTTATTGTACTATCAATGCATTCCCTATTTTGGCCATAAGACTTTCTGTGGTGTAATTCACTAAGTCTTCATGTTTCTGAGTCATATAAATTAACTAAGATGGGAATGTACCACGTCCACGATCCGACTTTGGAAATTATCATGCATACAATGGATTCCGGACTACGTGCGTTCCTCTAAGTCTTCTTACCAATATGACCAAGTTGCGAAAACAAGGTCAAACAGCTTCCATACAACGAAAGGATACTGCGATCACATAAAAGGCCACACCTAATATTCATAATTGATAGTTTAATTATCAATTAGATGAACGGTTTCTAGCTTATCGTTTAAGGTGTAAGCATGGAAACAATCAAAAGCGCAAAATTGCAAGCCCTAGATGCAACCTTTTAAGTACTATTTTTAACTGGCTTATCACATTCTAGTATAACCTACCTTTATTTGTGATTTCACTTATGACTAATTCTTTGTGCTGTCTTAACTTTCCTATCTTTGCGGATACGAAGAACAACTGGGTTTCAATGAATCTACTGAGATAAAATTGTTGGGGCGACTTTGTCCGTCATATGATGGACAACATAAGAGCTGTAACTAATTCTTGTAAAAGAATCACGCTAGCACTAGGCCAAGAAGACAGTTCGGCTATCTCTATGGTGTATGATGTATGTATACTCAAAACTACTTTAAATCGTGTGCGCGTGTGTTAACATATATACGCAAAACCGGTACTAAATCAGTGATCAAAAGGCCTAATGTCAGGCTCTGGTCATCAAAGCTTAGTGACCCAATCTGTTTTATGATTTTCATTGTACAAGCAATGCATTCCCTATTTTTGGCCATAAGACTTTATGTGGTGTAATTCATTAAAAGTCTTTATGTTTCTGAGTCATTTAAATGAACTATGACGGGAATGTACCACGTCCACGATCCGACTTTGGAAATTATCACGCATACAATGGACTCCGGACAAGGTGCGTTCCTCTAATTTTTCTTACCAATATGGCAAAGTTGCGAAAACAAGGTCAAACAGCCTCTATACAACGAAAGGAGACTGTGACCACACAAAAGGCCACACCATCTTGGTCTTCATTCCATCTATTTTTGTGTTTACCTAATTTTTGGCCAATAGGGACACAATTAGATCATACAATCTTGTAGTAGCCGCATCTCAATAATGGGTAATATTTCTATCTAAGATATGATACAACCGAAGATAGTATCAGAGTTTCTTTGAACACTGTTATTATACACAATTTTCTCACTAGCTTGCCTATATTTTAGAAAGAAGAAATGACAGCAAACTTAAGACATGAAGAAGGGTCCTAGGTTGTCTATCTTTGACTAAATAGTCACTTATAGTCATACAAATTTATTTCTCAGTAAAGAGATAAAGTTATGAAGAGTAACTGGGTTTCGATGAATCTCCTGAGATAACGTTATTGTTGGGACTTTCATTTCGTATGAAAGAGCATGAAGAAGAGTGAAGTCGATCTCGCAGGAAAAGCACGGTTGAATCCCGTTTTACTCCAGCCGTTTGGCTTCTAAACAACATTGAGATTGAAAATGAGACTATATATGAGGTACGATAGAGCCGAAAAGAATTCTTGTCTTAGTGTCAACTTGAGAATTTTATAAGAATGAATCCCAGCTCTGATGATGCCCATCATATGATGGACGAAAGCTCAGCCCGTTTTCACCGGAAAAGAGGGAGGTATTGTAGATTACACCAATCTCAACGCCATTTAAAAGCCAAACGACTGCAGTACAACGGGATTCAACCGTGCTTCTTCATACACTTTCATATGAAATGAAAGTTATCAATTAGACCCGAAGGATAATTACTCTCTAGGAATAAAATCTTCAGCTTTTCAAAATGTTCGTTATCTTTTTTATATTCACACTGCTGAAGAAGCCTATTATACAATGTATTATCCATGGGTTATAACTTAAAGAAGTCCTAAGAATATTGAGCAGGTCTTGCCCAAGTCCGGTTTTCAATCTAATTAAAACCCACAGTCAAGTAATAGCTATTCTCTACTTATACTAATAGGTAGACAATATATCCAAAATAATATATATATACATATATATATTGTTCCATTTAGTTTGAATTAAAGTTACAAAAAATCACCTACCAAATTGGCTTGTCTGCTTTCATCAAACAACGACGTGGGACCGAGTCGGATCACATCCTCTTTAATTAGGTTGCGGACTAACCAGCACACTAACTCTTGAATCAGCCATTGGTAACGTGGATTTGATTGAGTGACTTTCAATTGTGAATAGATGAAGTATGTAAGCAAGATAAATAAAGGGTGCGAAGTCATTGTCAGGGTTAGGAGAAACATTTAGCCTAATAGTTAACAATTTTAAGCCAACAAAGATATTTGTTACGACTATGCAATTCGGCAGGTGTCTCGTAGAAACTAAATGTAAATTGGGCCAAAACTTGGACAATAGGCAATGTCAAGGCCATCGTGTGTAACTGCATAGTTGGACTCTAATCCTTGAGAATCACCAGAAAATAACTTATCTTGAATCGTATGTATGGGAAATATAATCAATCCATGGATTGCAAGTTTGATGTCTAGTTTCAATTCACAGAGTGTCAGAGCCATGAGTATAACTAAAAACATACTGACAATACCTTGTTCATTACGGAGGCTTCTTCCGAAAACTGAGCAAAGTGGGTATAACCAAATAGTTTTGAAGTAGGCCTCGATCAAAAGCATTGCTAATGTGAAGTATGTGAATTGTTCAGCAACTTTAAGGGAGGACAGCTTGGATAGTTCGACTGGAACAGCAGAAATTGTAGTGAAGAAAGGAACAGTGTTAGTGTTTGCCGAACCAGGTTCGAGAAGCACAGTGTCAAGCGAGGCGAGGAGGGAAATTGATTTAGTGTCAAAGAGGACAGATGTTATGCCACTAGCGAAAAAGGAAATAGATATGGAAGTAATGATTATAGATTGAACAGAAATTGATTCTTTCAAGGAAGATGACGTATAAGTAGTTTCATTCTCTCCAATCTGCTTTCCTTTGAGTAAAGATTGTTGATGTCGTTGTAGAAGTTGATGATATTGCTGGATAGTTTTCTGTTGAACCTCTTGTATTTTAAACTGAATCGATTGCTTACTTGGTAAAAAGTCTGAATAACGAAGATGAAAGGAAGCAATAGGTTTAGTTATAAATAAGAGAGTAAACATAGAAATAGCATTCATATTTATGATTGAATTAAGTCTAAACGCAGAATTATACAGCCTAAATAAGTAAATTTAGCATTTCCTTATCACTCTTTATTTTGAAAATGCAAAACAAAAGGTTCTGTCAATCGATCTCTAATACAATCATCCACCACATTATATAATAGGAAGTCAAGTGACAAATCTCCCATCTTACTTTTTAAATGGATAGTTTACAAAAAATAAAATAGTATCATACACATCAGTTCAAAATGCATTGATATATGTAGTGAATAGGGATAATAAGAATTAACATTAATTGTAATTCAGTGTAGCGGAGGATGACGGAGTATCTACGACAGTGGGAGAAAACGTGGATTCTGCTAGCAAATTTCGCGCTACATAATATTCAGGAAAAATAAATATAATGAGCTGTTTCGAAGGCTCCTTTAATGGAATGGTATCGGTGAGAGTAGATCAGGCGAGCCCAAAGAACGCAAAAAATCAAATGCTCTTATTGTGGAGACTTACATTTCGTATGAAAGTGCACGATGAAGAGACACGTTGGTTGATCTCAACAAAAG